ATAGAACTCCCCTATGACCCAGCAATAGCACTGCTAGGAATTTACCCAAGGGATACAGAAATGCTGAGGCATAGGAGCACATGTACCCCAATGTTCATAGCAGCACTCTCCACAATAGCTAAAACATGGAAAGAGCCTAAGTGTCCATCAACAGATGAATGGATCAAGAAGATGTGGTTTATCTATACCATGGAATACTACATGGCAATGAGAAACAATGAAATCTGGCCATGTGTAGCAACATGGATGGACCTTGAGGGTGTTATGCTGAGCGAAATAAGTCAGGCAGAGAAGGACAAATATCATATGTGTGCACGTATAGGAGGACTAGGAGGAACTTAACAGAGGACCAATCGGGAGAAGAAGGGGGGAAATGGTGGGGGAAAGGGAGAGAGGCAAACCATGAGAGACTCTTGAATGCTGACAAAAACTGAGGACTGATGGATGTGGGGGGGAGGGGGGGTGGGCATGAAGGAGGGCACTTGTGGGGATGAGCACTGGGTGTTATGTGGAAACTAATTTGACAATAAACTATTTGTAAAAAAAAAAAAAAAAAAGAATTAGCATATTTAATACTTGACATTTAACAACATAAATTAGGTAAAATACAAACTTAATAAAACCATAGTATTTCTTGTCAAAAAAAATAAAATAAAATAAAATAAAATAAAATAATCATTGAAGAGATCAGGCAAAAATTTTTATGTGAATTATAAGCTCCTACTTCATACATTGAAAATGTAAACACTAAGAATAAAAAATATTATCTGAAAGGTACAAGAATTTGGATAGTTTTTAAGATGATTAAATAAAGGAAATTTCTATCTGTTTTGGTACAAGATGCAGAATATAGAGTCAAGGCCTTTAAGCACATGCATAGCAAGGAAATTTAGATCATTTGCTTTTAACATTGTTCTTGAAAGTGATCCTATAGTTTTCATTTTAGATTCACTTTTAATGTGGTTCTAGGGTTTTTACCTACCACAAAAGTATGTTTTCATTATATGAAATTCAGACAACTAGATTATTTCCTTAGACTTTCCAATGCATATTTTTAAAGTATTGTATGTGTAATTTCTTTCATCTTTTTTCACTGACTTTGTGTTGTTAAGTAGGTGCTCTATTCTAACAGCATCTTGATTGTATTTCTCGTTGAGAAATCAGTCCTAGAGGTTCATGGGTATTTCTCAGAGACTGTGTGTGTGTGTGTGTGTGTGTGTGTGTGTGTGTGTGTGCGTGCGCATGTTTCAATTAACTATTTCATCCATTTGGAACTATTTCAATATATGGCATCAACCAAGTGCTTAAGATTATCTTTTTTTCCAACTAGTTGGTTTAAATTTATAATTTTGTTAATGTCTTTTGTAAACAAGGCAAAACTTTGTTCTGTATTTGAACTTTATCCTGTATTTGTTTTGAGGCTTTTGAAATGAACTCTAATGTTTTTCTCTTATCCCTGAAATTGTCTTTACATGGTGTCCCCCTAGCACTCCTGTATCGCACACACTGAGACCTCGGTGCACCAGATGATAGGCGACAGCCACAGGAAATGCCCCGAGGGGTCATTCGGTGCCAGGCTCTGTAGCAGGGGCTCACACAGAGCATTCCGCTCCATCTTCACAGTCTCACCCTGTGCCCATTAAAGAGGAGGAAACTAAACCTTAATGGTATCAATGGCTTTTTACAAAATATTCGAGGTAACAAGTGGCTGAGCCTCGACTTACACCCGGTCTTCTGCTGGAAACCCCCTACCAATGGCTTTGGGTCAGATAAGCCAGGGAGTGATTGTTTCCTGCCTCTGCCATTTGCCAGCTGTGTGAATTGGGGAAAGTTAATTAGCCTCTCTGGTTCATTTCTTTATATGATAAAAATACCTGCCTGGCTGGATTATGCTAAGGGTTGAGGGATTACCTTTGTAGAGTGAATGTGTACTCACTCGGGAAATGATATGTGCATCATCTTCTGTGATTCTTCTTTTACACACCCCCTCCTCCTCCGTCTCCCCCTCTCCTCCTCTCCCTCCTCCTTCTCTGTCATCATTTTAGGCTTTGCAAGGCCAGACAATGTCTGCCACAACTATTCAACATTGTCCTTGTACTCAAGCAGCCACAGACAATAGGTAAAGAAATGGGCTGGGGCGCCTGGGTGGCTTAGTCGGTTAAGCGTCCGACTTTCGCTTAGGTCATGATCTCACGGTTCGTGGGTTCGAGCCCCACGTCGGGCTCTGTGCTGACTGCCAGCTCAGAGCCTCGAGCCTGTTTCAGAGTCTGTGACTCCCTCTCTCTCTGACCCTCCCCTGCTCATGCTGTCTCTCTCCTAGAAATAAATAAAACATTAAAAAAAAAAAAAAAGAAAAAAGAAATGGGCTTGGCTGTGATGCAGGATAACTTTATTGACAAAAACATGCATTTGAACCAGGTTTGACCTGTGGGCTACAGGCTACCAAACCCTGGCCCGGATAGTTATTAGCATCACCTGAGGATTTTCCAAAACTACTAGTTTCTTGATTCTTCCTCACCTCCAGCATGAAACTGGGAATCTTTTTTTTTGTAAGCTCTCCAGAATTTTGAGGAAAGAAAAGAAAATGTGGAAAAATAACTCACCAGTAGATTTGAGGATATGTTCCAAGTAAAAACACTTCCCCAAACAAAATGACTATTAAGAAGGAGCAAATATAAAATATAAAGAAATTCTGGGAAAATAAAAGGCGTGCCCCCAAAGGCAAAATAATAATAACCCCCCCTAAAATGTTAAGTAAATCCAAATAATAGAGGTGTCTGCATGGCTCAGTCAGTTAAGCGTCTGACTCTTGGTTTTAGCTCAGGTCATGATCTCAAGCCACAAGTCTGGATCTGTGTTGCGAGCCTAGGGCCTGCTTGGGATTCTCTCTCTCCCTCTCTCTCTCTCTCTGCCCTTCCCCTGCTCTCATATGCTCTCTCTCTTCTCTAAATGAGTAAATAAACTTTTTAAAAAATAAGTATAAATAAATCCAAATTAATAAATGGACATAACTGGAAACCACATTAGTTCTGGAAGATAATGTTCAGGAAACCTCCAATAACACAGTGCAAGTAGATAAAGGGGAGATGGAACATATAGAAGAAAAGTTCAGCCTTGCAGAAGATTAATCTGGTGGTCTGGCAATTTTATCTAATATTTATTGCAGAAAGAGAAATGGGTGGGAAAGGAAATAATAGAAGGGAAATTTTCAGAGCCAAAAACACAACTTTTTATATTGAATGGACCCACCAAATGGAGAGTATGACAAATGAGTAAGTGTCCACACCTGCGCACATTTTGATACATGTTCAGAGCTCCAAGTGTACAGCCAGAGGGAGAAGACCTTATGGACGAGGAGCATCCATGTCCAACGAGCAGTCACGGGCGGCTCTGCATGCGGGAAGTCTCCTCCAAGGACACTGCCAAACTGCCATTCAGGTGGGAGGGATCCGAGAAAACACCTGCAAAGTGCAAGTACTTGGAAGATTCAAGGCCACACGTATCCAGTCTGAACGTTACGCTCGTGGGCGTGTGTCAGCAAAATGAAGAATGAACACACGAAAGAAAACAGAGAAACCAGAACAACTTATGGTTCAACTTAACTAGCGTTTGCTAATTTCCACGGTGTAACTATTCCCATCGCCCATTCAAGCTGCTAGCCGATCTAATGCAGTTGGGAATGTAGGCACCAGGGCACACCATTAAAAAGTATTTTCACCATAGAGACACAACAGATAGAAATAATGCCAAAAGCATCAATGATATAGTAAAATCCAGTCCAAAAATTAGGAAGTGATGAGTTTTGAGTATTAAGAACTTTGTGATATAATTTACTTGATTGCAAGTTTATACAAATCAGCATTTTAAAATGCTAACAATTAACAATGCATTTAACAACCAGCTTGCACAATTCTAGAAAATGTGTCAGTTGGATCTCACGAGCCATCAAGGGCTGACTGCAGCATACCACTGAATATGCTCTTTATTTGCTCAATGGCCTGGGCCGACTCTCTAAACGCCTTGGAGCTCAGATCCTCTATCTGTGAAGGAAACAGTGCTTCAGCTCACAGAGATATAATTCCAGGTTCAAACTGCCCTGTGGTGTTTTCCTTCTCCAAATCCCTCTTTAGTTAGAAATTTCCATCCAAACCCATGTTGTAAAACGTCTTTGGGTCAGCTGATATTGTTCCCTACTATGTTGTACATTACTCTCACCTTGCCAACTCCATTTTAGAGATTCTAAAGAGCAGGAATTATGTCTCAAAATATTTGGTTGGTTTTTTTTTTTTTTAAGTAAGTACTACATCCAAAGAAGAGCTTGAACTCATGATCCTGAGCTCAGGAATTGCATCCTCTATGGACTGAGCCAGCCAGGAGCCCCGCAAAATGATTGTGTATTTTCTTTCACCACGACCCCAATGATGGTGGAGCAGTGCTGAGCATTTGACTGGTACTTACTAGCCGACTTCTGTTGACTTGCTAACCAGCAGATTTTGAAGTAGAACATTATACCAAAAAGATGTAATATCAGAGTGAATGTCCGGAGTCAGCTGAGAGTTTCCTCCTTAGGAGGGGTCTTTAACAACAGAAGAGGTGTTTGTGGAATTGATTTGGGGGTAGTTTTTCTTGAAATCAAAGTGCCCAAACTTTCCACCAGTCTTGCTTCAAGTACTTTCTTCCTCTATAATCTTTGCTCTCCCATTAACGAAGATTTGGAAACATTTTACCTTCCATAGCATGAACAGTTTTTTGTAGTGTTGATTGAATATGCATTTTTCAAGCTAACTGCCCCCCAGCTGAGAAATGGTGTGAAGTGATCCCCATCTTTCCTCCCCATGGTGGTGAATCACTTCTTCAGACTCTCCTGCCAGACCTGATTCGCTCGCTCTGCATGCGTGTCTCATGAGCCTTGATAAGATGCCACTGGAGATGTTGACATACTTCATGAGTGTCTGATGATCTTTACCAGCATGAGAACGTTTATGATCTTGTGTTTTCAGAATCCACCTCCTCTGTTTAATGAAGTCAGTGCCACCGTAATCCAGGCCGAAAAGGTGACCTCCCTAAGGAACGAGGTACAGGTAAAGCATGAGAAGAAGTACAGAGAAGCCCTGGTTAAAATCAAGGATGACCTGAAATTAGTAGAAGGTCCAGATATTAAGGACAACCTACAAGACCAAATCCGGCATTGGTTCATCGAATGCAGGTAAGTGTGAGCGGCCCAGTGGTGTGTCCTGATTATCTTTTCTATAGGGATTGAGGCTCCTGTATGTTTTTAAGCACAGAACCATGTCCATATAAATAGAGTCATGTTTTTTTTTAAGTTTATTTATTTTGAGAGGCAGAGAGAGCAGAGGAGGAATGGAGAGAGATAGAGAGAGAGAGAGAGAGAGAGAGAATCCCAGACAGGCTCTGTGCTGGCTGTGTGGAGCCTGATGCAGGGCTCGAACCAAAAACCTGAGCCCAAAACCAAGAGTTGGACAGCTTAACCGACTGAGCCACCCAGGTGCCCTTGATTCATGGAGTTTCTAGGACTCATCTTAGAAAGTGAAATGTCAAGGCTAAGAATTCAGGAAGGAACTTTTTTTTTTAATGAGATTACTTTTTGTGCTGGTGTTTGGCTTGGTTTGGTTTGGTTTGGTTCAAATAAGGTCCATCTGGTACTTCTGTGACCACATGGAATTGTGCATCATGAGCAGATGACACAGCCCCACCATGGTGGACTTCCCAGGCCAACTTTGGCTGGAAGCCAAGGGATCCAGCCACAAGCAAGTCCTGGGGTCTGACCACCTCTCTACTTGCATGAGCTCGGGACTCTCAGTCTCAGCCCTTCTCTGTCACAATTCTGAGGCAGCTGCTCAATGTGCGACCTGAGACCAGGGCCCTGGGCCTCCTCGAAATGTTGGGTGGCTCACTGTTCTGGGAACCAGGCCCCAGGGTCCGCATGAACGGTCTTCCTTAATACTCTTGCATGCAATGTTAACTGACTTAAAGCTTGCTTTACAAAAGAGGGTTTTTGACAGGTATTCATTTTTACAGAATCACGCATGGCTAGAACAAACACCTGTGGAACACAGAAGTTTCAACAGCAGAACAAACACTTTGGAGGCAACCTTACGAGAGCAGTTTTAAAAATCTGTTTTATTTCGAGAGGGCAGAGAAAGAGGGCAGATTGTAGTGATCAGTCCCAGAAGCCATGGAGGCCAGACTTGGCCATCTGTTTCCTTTAATGGAGACCGTGCCATATTATATTGCATTCAGAGACGCTCAGACACCCACTTTGGTTAGCTCTTCAGAACCGGAGAATTTAACCATTGGCGATAGAAAATCAAACTTCCTCTCAAAAAAACACATTAAAAGATATTTATGTCCATGGTAGGCAGCCTCTAAGATGACCTCCAGTGACTTCACCTCTTTCTTGTCATGATGTCCTTCCCTTGACTGTGTCTAGACCAAACACTTCACTTCTAAGGGAAGAACAGAGGCAAAAGTGAGGGGGTGTCATTGCCATCCTGCCCACCTCCCTTGCCCTCTCTTCCTCTCTCCCTCGCTGCTCTGAGAAAAGCCAGCTGCCCTGTTGTGAGCTGGCCACGGGAGACTCCCACATGGGAAGGAAAGGAGGGCCTCAATCCAGCAGCCTGGGAAGAACTAACTTCCACTCACAGCCACGCGATGACCCTAGATGTGGTTTCGTCCCCGGAGAGCCTTCAGATGAGACCATAGCATGGTTTTCAGCCTGGTGGGAGACCTTGAGGCAGAGGCCCTCAGTGCAGCCACATCTGGTCCCGTCCCCACAGAAACAGTGACAACATAAACGTTGATCATTTCGATCGCCAAGTTCTGATGAAACGTTACGCAGCAGTAGATTTCACATATACATCGAGATATAGGGACATGTCGGCCATCATAAACTCCTCTTGTGTTAACTCTATGTGGCAATTCTGATACAGTTTCCTCAATACTTAAATTGTATAGCAAACTTTCTTTAAAGAAGGCAATTCAGGGGCACCTGGGGGGCTCAGTCCGTTGGGTGTCTGACTCTTAATTTCAGCTTACATCATGATCTCGTAATTTGTGAGTTCGAGCCCCATGTCAGAGTCTACGCTGATAGTGCAGAGCCTGTTTGAGATTTTTCCCTTTCCTCTCCCTCTGTCCCTCCCCCACTTTCTCTCTGTCTCTCTCTCTTAATAAACTTTAAAAAATATATTTTTTTCAAAGAAAGCAATTCACTGAGGGCCTGGGTGGCTCAGTCACTTAAGCACCTGACACTCAGTTTCAGTTCAGATCATGATCTCATGGTTCATGAGTTCGAGCCCCACATTGGGCTCTGTGCTGACAACAAGAAGACTGCTTGAGATTCTGTCTCTCTCTCTGCCCCTCCCTCCTCCTCTCCCTCCCTCACTCTCTATCTCTCTCAAAATAAATAAATTAACTTCAAAATTATTTTAATGCTCAGAACACCTGGATGGCTCAGTCAGTTGAGTATCCCACTTTGGCTCAGGTAATGATCTTGTAGTTCGTGAGTTTGAGCCCCACATTGGGCTCATTGATGTCCATGCAGAGCCCACTTCAGATCCTCTGTCCCTCTCTCTCTCTCTGCCCTTCCCCACTCGCCCTCTCTCCCTCAAAACTAAATAAAACATTTTTTAAAACAAAGAAAGAAATCGATTGCTTTTAATTGGGAAGCTCTGTCCTTTACTATGTGAATGCAATTTGAAAATACTGATGATTTTTTAAAATTCAATATCGAATAAATTTGTAAACTTTTCTTTTTATACCTTACTGATCAAGGCTATGTTATAGCAAAATGAGGTATTTTTTAAAATTTCTTAATGTTTACTTATTTTTGAGACAGACAGAGCATGAGCAGGGGAGGGGCAGAGAGAGAGGAAGACACAGAACCCGAAGCAGGCTTCAGGCTCTGAGTTGTCAGCACAGAGCCCGACATGGGGCCCGAACTCACGAACCACGAGATCATGACCTGAGCCGAAGTCAGATGCTTAACCAACTGAGCCACCCAGGCACCCCAGTGTTTTCCATTCTTAAAAAAGGCATGTCTTCTGTTCTTCAAATATCAAAACCCAGTATTCTTATCTCTAAGTTTGCCCTCGGACCCGTCTCCTGCACACAGTCTAAGCAAAGCTTAAATTTGCCAGTTGTAGGTAACTCAGAGTCTTCCAGTTTAAGAGAGCGTCCTTCAGGCTGTCTATTTTGAGCACACTTGGAGTCCGTTCAGATGCCTACCAGGAATGTTGCCCCACTTTTCTTCCCCTTATGGCCCCTAATGAGAAAGGGAAGTGAAACCTTCATGCCGACAGTTAGGGGTCGGACAGGTGTGACGACGTCTGGGCATGTGCTGTTGTCACTCCCTGACCAGGTCCCGTAGGTGAGCAGTGTACTTACCTGGTCCAACAGGAATGGCAGCCCACTCGGTCCCTGCGGCTTCCTCCTGCAGCCTGTGGTTTCTGCCATGCGCCCCCGATCACTGGGCACCTGCAGTCCTGGCCTCTCATTTCTGAGCGCACCCTCACTGCGATGCTGGTTCTCTTGGGAACTCAATGCCCCAGGGGCACAGACCCTCACCCACCAAGCCCCTCCTCCTCACTGCCACCCAACCCCTCCAACCCCATCCAACCAAGCTGCACGGGGAAGGAAGACAGACACCGCCCAGATGTTCCCAGATTCTCTTCAGCCACCTGCTGGGATCTCAGCAGTGACCCCCTCCTTCATTGACACCCTTAGAGTGTGAGGCTCAAGGACTCAGGCAGTGTCCCCATTCATGCACCTTCTGCTTCCTCCCACCCCCCTCTGCCTCACTAACTTCTCCTTCAGGTCAAGACTCTATGAAACCCCCCTGAGGGCTCTCCCTTGAGAATCCCTCCTTGTCCCCTGCTTGAGCTCCGCGTCGCCCCACACCCACCATCCCTGCCCCTGACAGCTGGCATCATGATTGAGAGCACAGACTGGACATAGCTGTGTAGGCTTCGTTCCTCTTCTCTGTGGTCAGTTTCCTCATCTATGATGTAAGGACAAGACTCAGCACCTGCTTCATGGGGTTGTTTAGACACGCGGGGTGCCTAGACCTGTATATCAGGTCATGACTGTCTCTCCCATCCTGTAACCACCTGCTCACTCACATGCCCCTCCCCCAACCACTCAGCAAGCCCCGTCAGGACCAGGCTGGCACTGAGGAGGGAGTGGCGTATGAATTCCACATGGAAGGGATGAATTGTGCAGGCGATGCTATCGCCATATTCCATTCTTAGCCAATTGCATAATTGTGTCCAGAGCAAATACACTTGGGATGATTTTGTGCAGTTGTGGACATTTAGGTAGAAAGGCATAGTTTCAAAAGAATTGAGACTTTAGATGATACCACGTTGGTTTATAATTAGAATTCTCATTTTTTACAAAATGTTTTTAGAGAGAAAGAGAGAGAATGGGGGGGGGGGGCAGAGGGAGAGAGAATCTTAAGCAGACTCCATGCTCAGTGCTGAGCCCAATACAGGGCTCGATCTCAAGACCATGAGATCATGACCTCAGCTACAATCAGAGTCCGGTGTTTGGGGCACCTGGGTGGCGCAGTTGGTTAAGCATCTGACTGGCTCAGGTCATGATCTTGCGGTTTGTGAATTTAAGCCCCACATCAGGCCATCGGGCTCTGTGCTGACAGCTCAGAGCCTGGAGCCTACTTCCGATTCTGTCTCCCTGTCTCTCTGCCCCTCTCCCACTTGTGATCTGTCTCTTTCTCTCGCTCTGTCTCAAAAATAAACAAACATTAATATAAAAATGAGTCCATTGCTTAACCTGCTGAGCCACCCAGGAGCCCCAAAACTCTCATTTTATAAAGAGAATGATATGTCCTGTGTTCACAAATCTCAGTTATCAGGAATTTTCCACCGCTTTCTCCAGGGCTGCAGAGAATGGTTTCCACAAGCCTGTCTTCTATAAATGGAATGATTCTCAATTTTTAAATAGATATTTTAAAATCCAATTTACCATTAGGCGACAAAACCAAGTTGAAAGCTCTGTGTACAGTTATAACCCAGAATAAGCTGAAACATATTAAACATACCCACACACACATATTCATACACACATTTAACTTATTAGATACGTGTCTGTACGTGCATGGAAAATTTCTGGAAGGATACACTGGAAACTGTTTGCTTGGTTATTTCTGGGGACTAGAGTGGTAATGTTATC